GTGAGCCAGCACTGCTGGCCGTCATGGCCTATGACCGCTATGCTGCCATCTGCCAACCTTTGCACTATGCTCACCTGATGAGGGGCAAGTTGTGCATCCAGCTGTCTGTGGCCATTTGGCTCTGGGGCTTCCTGGACTCAGCTATCTACATTGCTCTGGCTTCCAGGTTGGAATTTTGTGGAAATTACCAGATTCCTCACATCTTTTGTGATGGTCCCCCATTACTGAAAATTGCCTGCAGTGATACTTCCGTCAATGAGTTGGTCACTCACATCACTGGCACCTTGGTGGGACTTGTCCCTCTTCTGCTCATCATCCTGTCCTATTTCTACATTTTGTCCTCCATTCTGCAGATCCGCTCCAAGATCGGCAGGCGCAAAGCCTTCTCCACCTGCGCTTCACACCTTGCTGTAGTAACACTCTTTGTTGGAAACGCTTTTGTGAACTACAACCAGCCCAGTGCTGGCTACTCTCTAGAGGTGGACACTTTGATCTCCACCATGTTTTGCATTGTCACCCCTATGCTGAACCCCTTGATCTACAGCCTCCGCAACAAGGAGGTGAAGGGGGCCCTGAGGAAGCTTCTCAGCTGCTGGAGAATAGCATAGTTTTCATTCATTTATTGACAATAAACATTTCTTGTGCTGTCTGGGAAGAGCCCATGGGAAAAAAATTACCCTTTGCTGTTGGAATATTCTGCTATGCAGATATGAAATGCTTCTCTTCTCTGGACATTTCTTTACTTTGTCTTCTTTTCTGTTTTATCTCATCCAAAATAGTTTGCATTTTCTCTTGACTCTTCTTTTTGAATTCACTATTATATTGTATAAAATAAGTTCCTGTGTTGGTGAGATGGTTAACAAACAAACTGAATGAATGAATGAATGAATGAATAAATGAATGAATGAATGGCAGATTTACTTGTACCCCAAACTATTCTGAAATCAGTACCTTTATGTACATTTTTTTTTTAAAAAAAACACTTTTGATTTCCTTTTTCTTTCTTATTCTGTATTATTTCTTATTCTGTAGCAGTGCTCTATCCCTACCTGCCTGAAGACATCTATTATAGTGCCAGTCCCTAAGCAGACAGTAGTGGTATCCCTTAATGATTATAGACCAGTAGCTTTAACATCTGTTGTCATGAAATGTTTTGAGACGCTGGTGTTGAACTATATTAAGGCTAGTCTCCCATCTACTTTGGACCCATACCAATTTGCATATAGGGGTAATAGATCAACTGACGATGCTATGTCTCTTGTTGTCCATACTATATTGAATCACTTGGAACTACAGGGGGCATATGCAAGGCTGTTATTTGTGGATTATAGCTCTGCCTTTAACACCATTTTACCCAACAGGTTGTTTTTTAAAATGTCCAATTAGGGTTTAAATCAGAGGATTTGTTTGTGGATAAGGGATTTTCTGACAGGTAGGCCACAGTCAGTAAGGATGGGATCTCAGCATTCCTCTACTCTGATACTAAGCACAGGAGCCCACCCCAGGGTTGTGTGCTAAGCTCTTTCCTTTATTCCTTGTACACACATGCCTGCACCCCATTGTATAACACCAACACAATTATTAAATTTGTGCATGACACAACAGTGGTGGGGCTCATTAATAAGAACAATGAGTCTGCTTACAGGAAGGAAGTACAAGGGCTGACATTGTGGTGTAATGAAAATAATCTCACACTTAACATCACAAAAACTAAAGAATTTATAATTGACTTCAGGAGGAAGAGAGATGTACATCTACCACTGTACATAAATGGTGAGGAGGTGGAGAGGGTGGATAGTTTTAAACTTCTGGGCATTTATACCTCGAAGGACCTCTCATGGACTATGAATGCTAACATGCTTGTGAAGAAGGCACAGAAGAGGCTGTACTTCCTGAGAATGCTCAGGAAGATAAATCTATCTCAGCATCTACTTCTGTCCTACTATCGCAGCACCATTGAGAGTGTCCTGACATACGGCATTCTTGCATGGTACGGGAGCAGCTCTGTAGCGGACAAAAAAGCTCTACAGAGAACCATTAAAACTGCCCAGAATATCATCGGACTCCATCTACCAGCCCTGGATGACATCTTCACATCTCGCTGTTTGAGGAAGTTGCATAACATTCTCCTAGACTCTTCCCATCCTGCTTACAATCTTTTTGGATTGCTGCCTTCTGGCAGAAGATACAGGACAATTAAAACTCGGACCACACGTCTTCTGAATAGTTTTTATCCCAGAGCTATAATTGCACTCAACCATGAACTAAAGGGCCACCATCAGTGAGCTCTTGGACAGCATGACTTGGTCTGTTGTGTGGATGTTTGGGTGGTTTAGGGGTGGGGAATTGTGGAGGATGGGAGTGTGTTTGGGGATTGTTATGTCCAACCATTGTTGGACCTGGTCTTTGGGTGTTAAGTGAATTTCGTTGTATGGGTATACTGTGTATACACGTACAATGACAATAAAGTTATTAAAAAAAAATCCATATAGCCCCCCTCTATGGCACAAGGGTGGGGAATCATGGCCCTTTTATGACCTGTGGACACTATCATCAGCATCCAAGTCAGCATAAACAAGGAGTATAAACAAGGACCTTCTTGGGCTCCCCCTTCCAGTAGAAACTTGCTCCGTAAGGGGGTAGAGTCCCTCATAGGGTGCGGGAGCTGAAGGCACAAGTCACAGTCTTTCAACCTTTGTTTATTCCTTCACAGACTCCAGAACAGTGCATAACAGTGCTGCCCTTTGGGCATAGCCTCCCCTTTTCTCAAAGACTTCTAAGTCTATTGATCTCCCCCCCCTCCCCACTCAGGGGCCAAACATCAGGCACATCCTGATGCCAAATAGCATTATATTTAAGCAAAGTTTCAGTTTTCATATCCTGGTACAGAAGCACCTTGAGATGGAGGTACTCATCTTTCATTTTGTTAGAACTTCCTGGTAGCCCTGAGTAGGGGGGTCCTAGCCCAACAGGGTCCAAGCCACCCTTGTTTGCAACCAAAAGGAAGGGCTGTTTCCTCAACTCAGCAATGTGCAGTCTCAAAGGCAAGTTAATTGCTGACCTGTGCATAGAATATCCTGGTGCTGCTTGAGGGTTATGGTGGATTTTTCCATCTTATGACACACAAGGTCTGTTGAACTGTCTCAACTCAGCCAAGAAGCAATGGATTGAACTGATCTAGGAGAGATCCAACCTAGAACTAAAGAGAAATATCCTGAGAGTGACAACAATTAACCCGTGGAACAACTCGCCCAATGGGGGGTTTCAAATTATTTTACTACCGGTTCTGTGGGCGTGGCTTGGTGGGCGTGGCATAGCTTGGTGGGCATGGCTTGGTGGGCGTGGCAGGGGAAAGTTACTGCAAAATCCCCGTTTCCTCCCAATCAGCTGGGACTCGGGAGGCAGAGAATAGATGGGGGCGGGGCCAGTCAGAATTTTTACTACCGGTTCTCCGAACTACTCAAAATTTCCGGTACCAGTTCTCCAGAACTGGTTAGAACCTGCTGAAACCCACTTCTGAACTTGCCTCCAGAAGCTGTGGGTGGGTGCTCCAACACTGGAGGTTTTTAAGAAGAGACTGGACAGCCATTTGACTGCAATATTATAGGGTCTCCTGCTTGAGCAAGGGATTGGACTAGAAGACCTCTAAGGTCCCAACTCTGTTCTTCTATTATTTAATGACCTGTGCAAAGGATATTCTGATGCTGCTTGAAGTTACAGTGCATTTTTGCATCTTATGACCTGCAAGGAATCCAGGTATGCCAATTTCCAAAGGTTCTCTTAAAAAGCTAGCTGAATCCCTCCTGCCTCCCAGGATAGAGCTTGGGGATTGTGTGTCTTTTACAATACAGGCAACAAAGCCATGGGGGGGTGGTATAAAAAAGGGGCTCAATTCTGCCCCTTTTTGCAAGGCAGATTTTGCAAAGCTGGCAGCCTTCAGCCTCCAGTTGCAATAGCAGGAGCAAATTTGGGAGCCTTGCATTGGGATAAAACCAGGAAACATTTATGTAGATTCAAGAGGTGTCTGGGGAAGATAAAAGATTAGGGTCAGAATGGACAAACAAGGTGTTCCTGACAAGCAATGGGGCAGATATTAAGCAAGTGTGGATCTCATCCAAACCACAAAAACGTTGGCAATTGTCAACGTTCAAGCACGTTCAGGAAATGAATTAGCGATGAAGCAGCTCAGCAGACTCAAAAGAAATGATTGCATTTGCTATTCTGCATGAAACGTGTAGATGCAATCTGGCTGCAGGAAGATGCAGCATAAGAGGAAAAAGACAAGCCAGAAGCTGTAAATGATAAAATTTGGAGTTCAAAAGGGAAAGTAATTATTGCAAGGATGCCAGTAAAGCAAAATTAGGCAGGCGAAAGAATTGAAACAGAGATAACTGGCCACTGTGCAGTTTGGGAACAGGGACAGTTAGAGAGAACCCAAGTCAGTTACAATTTATTATCATCACCAATGTTTGCAAAGCAGCAAGTAAACCCTGCTGTCCTCTCCTCCTCCTCCTTAATCAGCTTTGCTAAACACATGAATTAAATAGCTTTGCATGGGAATGCCTGGGTGAGATAGTTGGGCTAAGCAGAGGAGTAGCCTCATGAAAACATGAGGCCAGAGGCATGGCTTGCTTTGTGTAACTCCCACTGTGCTCTAGGCACAATGAACGCGGGTGGGAGCAAAACCACAGACTCACAAATATTGCTCAAATATTACTAAACAAAGCATGTAGGACATGCCAACCGGCTGAAATGACAGCTACGTTATGAAAGCTTCGGAGCAACCTATGTACACGTGTCTCTGTGTGTGTTTCTAACTGCTGTGGGGGTTTAAGCCAGTAATGGGGAAAGGGGGCCACACATGATACCCTGATGTTCACGTTGGTGGGTTTTGCGGTTTGGGGATATAAAAGACCTGGCTGAAGGGAACCTCCCCATGTCCTCCTTCTGCGCAGAGCAAGATCATCCTGCTTCAATCTCCACCTCAGGTTGTTTAGTTGGGCTTCAACACCTCAGACAAAGACCCAGAGTTGACAGGTGAGTGCTGCTTTCCCATCTGGGGGAACATGGCAGGTGAGGTCCTTGCATCAGATCACTCCTGGGAGTCTCTCTCCATCTGAAGGGACCTCTTTAAAGTTGCTGCAGATTCCAGAAGGGGCTCTGTGGGATGGTCCCTCAGACAGGGAGCAAGGGATCAATTGGGTGATCTTTGGGAGAGAGAGAGAGAGAGACCCACAGAAGAGTCTTTCTAAGGGAGCTTCCTGCTGATTACATAGCAATGCAGAATCCAGTGTGACCCACCAAGGGTGTTTCATGACCACGGTGAGAGAAAGGGGGTCCAGCTGGGCTAGTGCAAAACTGTAGACAAACTGTTGAACTCTCAGCTTGATCCTGGGTTGGATGGTCTCCCTTCCTGAGTGAGCTTTTTAAGGAGCTTAGCTCCCCCTCCTTCGCAATGGTGAGAGTGCAGTAGTGCAGGATACTTCTGCTGACTGCTGATTGACAGCAATTTGGCAGATTGAATCTCACCAGCTCAAGGTTGACTCAGCCTTCCATCCTTCCAAGGTTGGTAAAATGAGGAGCCAGTTTGTTTTGGGGCAATATGCTGACTCCATAAAACTGCTTAGAGAGTGCTATAAAACACTGTGAAGCGGTATATAAGGCTAAGTGCTATTGCTATTTTTTCTCTCTGCAGGAAAGGGAGGAAAACCATGGGGCAAATTTCCTTTGTGAGTTTCGGTTTGCTGATTGTGGCCATCTCTCTGAGTGGTGAGTCCAAGCAAGGTCTCTCATGTTTGTAGAGGCTAAAGTTCTTGCATTTGAATCCTTTTAGTACAATTAAAATTCACAATCATGAACACAATTAACAGTGAAAAGCTTGGCAAAATATACATGCATTTATCGTTACAAGTTTAGTGCTTCCCACTCCTTGCATTGGAGTGGTCCCATCAATGATCTCTCCTGAAACCTCTTGAGCAGTTACAGGTCCTCCAGAACGGAACCACGTGATTCCCATATTTTGCCCCAGTCAACAGCCTGGTTCTTGAAGGAATCCAATTTCAGGCTTAGCACATTTACACAATTCACTGAATGATACACCAACCAAAGCAGAAAGATTCACACAAGACTTTCAGTTTGAAGAAAATTAACCTAAACTAACCCTAAATTTCTTTGAAAGGACAGATACTGAAGCTGAAGCTCAAATACTTTGGCCATCAAATGAGAAGCGAGGGCTATTTGGAAAAGACCCTGATGCTGGGAAAGCTGGAAAGCAAAAAGAGAAGGGGACAACAGAGGAGGAGATGGTTAGATAATGCCATCAATGCAATGAACAGGAGTCTCGGGTAATGGATGATGGGAGGGATGAGATGCTATTGTCCATCAGGTTGTGAAGAGTCAGATATGACTTAGCCACTGATCATCAACAACCAAGTTTGGAAATTTGCAAATGCAGCCACTGCGTCTGTAACCCAAATCAGTTTCTGTTTATTGTCATCAAAGATGTTTACAACTCAACAGGTCAAGAATGTTCTGCAGACCCAGCTGTCTCCTCTACCTTCTCCTTTTCTCCTGGCCATCTTCTCATTGGACTTTCTCTCTTCCCCCAAAGGAGTGAAAGGCTGTTGCTGTCCCGATAATTGGCTGCCCATGAATGGGTTTTGCTACAAGCTCAACGATCAACTCAAGACCTGGAATGAAGCAGAGGTTAGAAATGTTGTGTGTCTGTGAATTTCCTCACCCAGGCATGGGAAAAGCCTGGCCAGAACCTTGCATAGCTCCCAAGTACACACTCTGGCTGGGCACAAGTGGAAGGCCACTAGGATAGGTGCATGAAAAGGTAACAAAGGTCATGATTTTAGAATAATATGAAATGCAAGTATTCTATGGATGATATACTGGTTTAGGCTTTCATGACCAGTATCTGTTGGACAATGTCGAACTTCAGGGTTGAGTGACTGTCTTGCAGACAAACGATTTCCTGATGTCTCACTGGTAACTCTGACTGGTATCTTCAGACCTCCTTTATTCTGATGAGGATCTCAGATTTTAAACAACGTATCAGGAAAAACATCCTTGATGGTCAACGGACTGAAGAGGGTGGCTAGGATGATGCAATCAGATGCCTGCTCAAACACACACACACACACACACACGACTCTGGAAAGACTACAGAAAAGAGCAACAAAGATGATTAGGGGACTGGCAGCTAAAGCATATAAAGAACAATTGCAGGAATTGGGTAGGTCTAGTTTAATGAAAAGAATAAGTAGTGTTCCAATATTTGAGGGGCTGCCACATAGAAGAGGGGGAGGTGGGCAGTCAAGCTATTCTCCAAAGCACCAGAAGGCAGGAAAGAAGCAATGGGTGGAAACTAAGCACGGAGAGAAGAAACTTAGAACTAAGCAGAAATTTCCTGAAAATGAGAACAATGAATCAGTGGAACTCCTTGCCTCCAGAAGTTGTGGGTGGAGAATTTGAAGAAAAGATTGGACATTTGTCCGGAATGGTCTCCTGCTCTGAGCAGGGGGTTGGACTAGAAGACCTCCAAGGTCCCTTCCAACTCTGTTATTCTGTTACGTTCCTTCTCTGCTGAATAAGTGCCTTTCTCTGTTGTTGCTCTTCCCAGATGTTCTGCAGGAAATTAAAGCCAGGCTGCCACCTCGCCTCCATCCACAACATGGCAGAGTCAGCTGACTTGGCTGAGTATGTCTCTGACTATCTCACAAAGAAGGACAGTGTCTGGATTGGGCTGAATGATGCCCAGAAGGTAGATCCTTTGTATTTGTCAAGGAATTGCGTAGCAATTGTCCAGCTGAAGTAGGAGAGGCATTCGCCAAGTTTAACCCTGCTTAGTTGTTCCAGATCAACTAAGATCGATTAGCTAGATGGAGAAAGAGAGGGAGGGGGGTTCTATATGACCTGTCCCTTGAAACCTGCCATCTTTTCTCTCTCTGCCCAGGGCCCTCTATAGCCAGAGCCTCTTCCTATGTTAACATGGCTTCCCTTTCGTTACAGAAAGGTGTCTGGGTGTGGACAGACAGATCCTCCACCAACTACCTAGCTTGGGGTGAAGGAGAGCCCAACAACCAGCAGAAGAATGAGTATTGCGTTGAGCTCATAGCCAAGACAGGTAAGCCAAGGTGGGGGATGGGGGAGGTGTTCAAGATGCACTTTCAACAATGAGGACTTATTTCATCCAAGTTGGAACCCCCACCAGTGGCCAATGGATGACCTTGGTTGATCTCCTTAGATTCTAAACTCTCACAGCCTGACCCTCCATACAGCCAAGGGAATACAAAATGCCCATGGGATAAACAAAAATGGAACTCACCATTTCTTCAAAAACCCAAACTTAATTATTACAGCACCATCATTAAACCAACCATCTTCATCTTAACCTACTCACTTAGAGCGTTTAGAGAAGAGAACAATTAATGCACTGGTTTTCTTTGCTCTCCCCCAAACATCACCATCAGCTGCTCTCCTGAAGGGGGGGGGACCAGGTTGGGGAGGAGGAGGAGGAGTGGTTTGACAGATGAGTAGACCAATCACAGTGGTTATCCATCTAAATGTGCTCAGTTGAATAGTTGAAGAGTGAAGTCCAGGTTAGGGGTGGAGAACAGGAGGCCCAACAAGGCTAGATCCATTTCATTCAAGGGAACATCACCCTCCATATATCGGGACATTTTTTGAGCAAGTCCTGTGGTTGTTCAGCTAGCTAAATCTATATTGGTCTTACATTCCACAGAAACATTTGAATAACTCTTTCCTCCTGTGCTTTCCAGTGAAGTAGAGAAGGTGCAGGTGAGGCTACCAGCCTCTGTTGCATCCATGCTACAAGAAGACTCCCATCCTGAAGGGTCAGGACAGTCCCAGCCAGCTTTGGCACATTTCAGCCAGCGTGCTAGAAGTGCAACCACAGCACGCTCATGCTCAGGAGTCACGATGGCACAGTGGTTAGAGTGCAGTATTGCAGGCTAACTCACTACTCACTGCCAGCAATTCAATTCTGACCAGTTCAAGACTGACCCAGCCTTCCATCCTTCTGAGGTCGATAAAATGAGGGCCCAGATTGTTGGGGGCAACATGCTGACTCTGTAAACCACTTAGAGGGGGCTGCGAAGCATTATGAAGCAGTATTTAAGTCTTAAGTGCTATTGCTCTTCTGGGCAAGCTATGATGTCTAATTGAGGGACATCTTTGCAAACCAATATACTGCTGTCCATATCCATCATCCAGGGGTGCCCTTTGGATTTTGCAAAAAAAGAAAAGAAAAGAAAAAGGCAAAGTAGCAGCCTTAACTGTGAAATCAATACTCCACCTAGTTTTTACATGCCAAAGAGATGGGTCAGAAAAGCTCTTTGATGCCCTCTTGTAGTGGAGCAGAGCTTGTCAGAAAATTCTGGTTGACTTGGCCTGACTTGATGGCTAGGTAAGTCCATCTCAGCACATGAAGTTCTCCACCTCTGCTATCTTCATGCCCCCCCCCCCCCGGCAAATGAGGGAGGAGCCACTGAAATACTCTTCAGGGACTCTGAGGGAGTCACTACTCACTACTTTCTCTTTTTCTGCCCAGGTTTCAAGTATTGGAACGATCATCCTTGTGATGTCTTGCGTGCTTTCATCTGCGAGTGCAAATACTAGTGCCAGTTGCCCTTTCCCTGCTCCAGGGTGAGGGAAACACCCGGTGAAGCCTGGAAAAGCAACGAAGCCCTGCCAAAATCTCTCTTCTCCACCCCTTTGCTTGATTTCTGTAGCTCGGATCTGATTTTGCTCTTTCTGGTCAAATAAATTCTGTCTTTATGTGACTGACCTCAATTATTTTGCATTCCTGACAACTCAAGACTTTTTCATGGCAAGGCTTGGCATTAAAGTGGGGCAGAGGGTATTTTTTTCAGAAAGACCATCCATCGAGGCTTTGATGCTTTCTTGCATGTCTGCCTCATTTTAATTGGAAGGTTGAGAATCTGACGAGCCTCAGCACCATTATCTATCCCCCTAAAGCTGATTTAGATGGGAAGGTGGGTTGACGTTCTCCATTGAATTAATTTATTAATTCAAAATTAATTTCCCTGGAAATTAATCAGATTGATTGATTGATTGATAGCATGTAGTTTCTGAGCCTTCTGACTCCATATGAAAAATGGAAATATTTTGGCCTCTCTAAGAAGTCAAAGAAAGTTTTTTTTTCCACATGAAACTCTCACTTTTTTCTTCTGGCCAAGGGGGCTTCCTGGTAGCACTGTCCACTCTGGAGCCAAAGATGACCCTCTATGCCCACCCACTGGAGTCAGATTTGAGAGGTTCAACATGTGAGGATCACATGACTCAACACTTGGCTTCTCTCTAATTGTCCCTGATCCCAAAAGATCATGATCTTATTACATGGGTAAATTCTGAGATGGTCATCGAAGTGTCCATTCCTAATTCAGCAGCCATTTCCCCATCCCAGTGATGGGATTTCCGTTGATTCCAGATGAACCTCAACCCAACATTGAACAATCCTAAATGACACAATGAAGGTCACCAGTTGAATTGAGAAAAGGTGGGCAGGAAAAAGTCAAACCACAGCCTTGCAAATATTGCTAAAATATTACTAAATTAAGCATGTAGAACGTATCAACTGGCTGAAATGACAGTTATATTATGAAAGCTTTTGGCCAAGGAGAGACGGTGCAGGTGAGGCTACCAGCCTCACTTGCATCCATGCTACAAGCAGAGTTCCCTGCTGAGAGTCAGGACAGTCCCAGCCAACAATGATACAAATTGCCCAGGGTATCACAGCTGCAACCACAGCATGCCCGTGCTCTTCTACGATGAGCACGATGTCTACTTGAGGGGCCTCTTTGAAAGCCAGTTCCCACCCCGTTATCCAGGGAAGCCGTCAGCACAGGGTACAAAAAGGGGGGAGGGGCAATGTAACAGTCATGTCAGGGAAAGCTCCACCCGCTTTTCACCTGCCAAAGAGATGGACCAAAAACTCAAGCTCTTTGCTGCCCTCTTGTGGCTGAGCAGAACTTGACAGCCAAAGCCTGGTTGCCGTATCCTGGTTTGTTGGCTAGGTAAGTTATCTTGGTTACAGCAACCTGCCAAATCCAAAGCCCACGTTCGCACATGAAGTTCTCCACCTGTGGTATCTTCCTGTCCCCCTGCAGATGAGGGAAGAGCCACTGAAATATTCTTCTGGGACTCTGAGGGAGTCACTGCAAACCTTTTTCTTTTGCTATCCAGGTTACAAGAACTGGAACGATACGCCCTGCGAGTCCTTGCATCCTTTCCTCTGCCAGTGCAAATTCTAGTGCAAATGGCTCCTTTCCTTGCTCTGCGGTGAGCAAAGCGCCTGGTGAGTCTGGAGAAGCAATGAAGCTCTGCCAAAACTCTCTGCTCTGCACCCCATCCCTTAAGGCAGGGGGTCCCGAACTTTTCTATGCTGCCCCATTTTAAAACCACTCCTAATACAATGTCTGACTTGCTAGTCTGAATGATAAATCGCTTTGATGAATCTGGGTGGCAGAGAAATGGCTGAGTGGCAAAGACCTGTTGTACCTTTTCAAATGCAGATTGCTCCTTCTTCATCCAGTCAAACTTTGTTTTCTTCTTCAACAATTGAGTGAGAGGCTTAACCTTGAGTGAAAAGTTAGGAGTGAACTTCCTGTAAAAATTAGCAAAGCCCGGGAAACTCTGAAAATCTCTTGTATTATAACAAGGGGTGTGGGTCATACCTTGGTAGAATCCATCTGGAGACTATCAGTTGAAATCCTGCAGCCCAAGTGGTCCAATTGTCAAAGGTGTCGAAGTCAAACTTCTCCAGCTTGGCAAACATTTTTTTCTTCCATAGTCTTTGCAACACCTCCTGCTGGACCTGAGCCTCTGCATCCTCAGAGTAAATCAAGATGTAATCTAGATAAATCGCCAGAAATTTGGCAATTGTATCTGAAAAAATTAATTCATAAATCTGAAAAATAGTGCTGTACATTTACAACTAGCCAATCCAAAAAGAATAATTGCATCTTCAAACTCACCATTCCTGATATCAAAAGCTGTCAAATTACTCATGTCTTTCTTTCACTCTAATGAGGTCATAAGCATTCCTGAGATCCAGCTTGGTCAATATGTGAGCCATCTGTAATCGGTCCATCAAATCTGATCTTAGAGACGGTGGGTAATGATCCCTTATTGTTTTGAGGTCCTCGTAATTGTGGTCTGTGCAGATCAGAACCTGTCCCTTCTGTCCCAACCGGTCAGAAGCCATTAAGAGCGTACCCTGACCCATATGAACTTCATAAGCTCTTTATAAGCTGAATACTCCTCTCCCCATTTGAGCACTTGAGAAAGGCCCCACTGTCGTTTCCCTGAACCTGTGAATAGTAAGTTGGCTGATGCTCCTTTTATGCCCTGCTGGTCATCCCGCTCTCCTTCCCTGGGCACCTGGCTGAGCAAACTCGAACGATATGCCCCGTCTTGCCACAGATAAAGCAAGCACTAAATCCCTTCCTCTTTGCCTTTCCTCAGCAGCTGCTCCAGTTGCATCAACTCTCCGTCCCCAGATCAGTTGTAGTAGGTGTGAAGAGAGCAAGCCTTGCGATCCAGGATTGGGCTTGCACAACTGATCCTGTTCTTGCTGCAAATCTCCCAAGTGGGCATCTATGAGCACGCAAAGTTGCAATACGGTAACTCCTCTAGGATTTGTGGAATTCCTTCAGAGAATTCTATTCTAAATCTGTTCAGGAGGGGACTGCATGCAGAAGCTTCACTTCCATGCCAGGTGTTTACTGTTTACTGTTTTAATAGATGTACGTCTTGGGTTGTTTTATGAGGACCCAGAGTTGACTGAGACATCCTAGGGACAGGTGAGTGCTGTTCTCCCACCTGGGGGAGTCCCCCCCTCACTTCTTCCCTCTTTGTTCTTCTCTGCAGCGAAGGAAGGAAGACCATGGGGCAATTCATCTTTGTGAGCCTCAGCTTGCTGGTCGTGGCCCTTTCCCTAAATGGTGAGTCTCTGGTGGGGTCTCTGGTGTCCAGAGAGATCAAACTGCTTGCCTCTCAACCTCCTCCTGATTTGACCCCCTAGAATCTGCGCCCCAAAATTGCTTTTATTTCTGTTTGGCTTATTGTACAATTTAGATCTCACCCTATCTCTCTGCTCCAAGATTCAGGGCTGGTTGCAAGGATACAAAGCAAAATTAATACCATAGTTGAAAGCTTAGCAAAAGATCCATGCTTTTATCATGAAACATTGAGTCCTCCCACTCCTTGCAGGGGCAGCCTACAAATAATCACCCCTGAATCCCCCTGAGTAGTTATGGGTCATCCAAGAGGCAACCGCAGATCCTCCAGAACTGACCCACGGAATCCCTATACTTTGTCCCACTCAACAACCTGGTTCTTGAAAGAATCCATTCTCTGACTTAGCAGAGTTCACTGAATGATAAATCAATGAAAGGGGACAGATTCACACAAGATATGAAGCTTCAAGGAACTAAACCAAGGCTAAGCCTACCCAGTTGTTGAACATTCTGCAAATACAGCTGTTCTATTTGAAATTTTCAGTTTCAATTTATTGCCATCAAAGATGTTTGCAACCCAACAGGTCAAGAATGTTCTGCAGACCCAGCTGTCTCCTCCTCCTTTTCTCCTGGCCATCTTCTCATTGGGCTTTCTTTCTTCCCACATAGGAGTGAAAGGCTGTTGTTGTCCCAATGATTGGCTGCCCATGAATGGGTTTTGCTACAAGGTCAATGATCAGCTCAAGACCTGGAATGACGCAGAGGTTAGAAGTGTTGTGTGTCTGTGAATCCCTTAGCCCAGGAAGAGGAGAGGCCTAGGGGGAGCCTTGCATCGTCCCCAAGTCCACTCTGGCTGGGGTGAAGTGGAGGGCCATGAAGCTGGGTGCATGAACAGATAGCAAAGGTCATGATTTTAGGATTGTCTGGGATGCAGATATTCTATGGACTGTACACTGGTTTAGGCTTTCGTGACTCATACCTGTTGAGCAGTGTTGAGCTTCAAGGTTGCGTGACCACCTTGTAGACAACAGATCTCCTGATGTTTCATTGGCAACATGGATGGCATCTTCAGATCTCCTTGCCTCTTAAGTGATGGCGATCACAGATTATAAAGAAATGAATCATGAATTTAAGCAGGGAACTATTCAAGAGCTGCACACACTAGTAAAGACATCCGTGTTGTTCAACAGGGTGAAGAGGGTGGCTAGAACCATCTGGTGGCATCAGATCCTTGCTGTTTTCTCAAATGGTCACACACACATACACACAAATGTTTCTTCTCTGCTGAACAAATGATTTTTTTCCTGTTGTCGCTCTCTCCCAGATGTTCTGCAGGAAATTCAAGCCAAGCTGCCACCTCATCTCCATCCATAGCATGGCAGATTCAGTGTCAACTCACAAAGCATCCAGGGTCTGCTCTCGAGTTGCCATAGGCAGTGGGGATGGGAAAGTGAACTTCAGCTGCAGCGAGG